TGAATCAAAAGAAAGTTTGTAATGAAATCTAAAAAAAAAATCGAGAATTTAATTAGGAGAGAAGGATAAATTTTGAATCACATAGTCCTAATTTGCAATAATTAAAAATTTTAGTATTTTTCAAAATAATTTTCTAACTCACTCTAAATTGGACTTATTTTTGTGAAACCACCAATTTTTTTTTTTTTTTGTAATTATCTTTAAAAAATGGAAAATTTTCTATTTAGGGTGGGTTTGGTCTGATTGAGCCTATAGCTCTTTTTTTTTTTCTTAAGTAGCCAGTTAGGATGATTTGATAAATCAATCTTAATTGTTTTGTTATTACTTATCAACTAATAGATCTTGATAATTAAACCTAACAAAGATTTCATTTGTCAGTTGTAACATTATGTTGTATTTATAATATATATTTTTTCTTGTCCTTTACTATTTCAAAGATATATGTATATATATAATTAATTAAAATCAATAAAAATATATTAAAAAATAATTAAAATAAATTAAAATTAATAAATTTACATATTAAAATATGACATTTTAAAGGTACATTAAATAATTAATTACTTGGTAAATCAAAAGTTTGATCATCTAATTTCTTAATCCCAAACAAAAAATTTTTAATTAATAAATATTAATTTAACTAAACTTTTATAAATATTTTTAGAGAATTCGAAAGTCATCTTTTGAGTGGGTCTTAGGGGTAGAATCCATGGATGATTGTGAAGGATGCCTCAGGAGGTCTTAATTTTTATATTTTTTATATTTTTAAATATATATATATAGCACAAAAAAAGATTATGGAAAGCATGATTTCTTTTTGGTTTCATCCGGTATTCGGGACTTTATCTTAACTAATCCGGATCGATCTGTGTCGCATATTTAAAAATGCTGAATGAATCTCTCAATAAAAACTACTACATATACAAACTCTTAAACTCAAAATCTTATTTAAACTAAAATATTACTTACCACTTAATACAAGCCTTCTTGGTTACGGAAAGCATGATCAAACGTGAGAAAATTGGTAAACTCTACAAAAGAAACTTTAGTCCTTCGGCCAAGGATAATATAGACATTTCACGATAAAGCCTTTTTTCATAAAAAATTTAGAAGGAATATAACAACAGAAGATAAACTGATAAAGTAAAGAAGGGGGAAAGAAAAGGAAGAGAGAGGAGAAAGGCGAATTGGTTTCGCTGCGCGACACCGTCTCTGTAGCTGCTTTACTTTTCTTCTACAGAACGCGTGTTAAAAGCCAAAGACAGAACAGGGATCCGCTGGGAGTCAAACCCACGCCACGCCATCCCCTCTTCCCTTCTTTCCGACACAACCCTCCTCCTCTTCTGTTCTGGTAAAAGTTCTGGTTTGTCTTTCCTTGATCTTTGTCTTGTTTCCTTTTTCATGGCTGTAATCTTTTTATCTTCTCTTGGGTTTTTGTTTCGTTGTGATTTGCTATTGATTCGAGGTTCTAGGGTTTGATTAGTAACATACCATGATTTTGTCGTTTGATCAGCTGATGGGTAATTTGGAATTAGGGTTTATGTACCTGCTTTTTGGTTTTGAGTTTTGATCCTGAAAATTTAGTGCTCATTTGTGTCCTCTAGGTGGATTTTTAGCTCCAAATTGCTTAGGATCTTTGTTTGCCTGAATTTGCAGTAGCTAGAAAGTTGTTTTAATGGCGGGCTTGTTTTCTATATGCATTTGTTTGTCTTCTTTAACTGCACTTTTAATGTTTCATCTTGATTGTTTGTTGGTTATGCCATTGAACTTTTAAAGGTTGGTTTTTTTTCATACACTTTTCGGCATTGTTTAGGAAAGGGAATGGCAGCGGAGGCGGATGTTGACTTGTCAAGTCTGCAGTCTCAGCTAAGTGAAACTAATGAAATTTGGAAGGAGGAGATGGAGCGAAGCCAATCCCAAGTAGATGTATTACAAACCAAAATAATGGAGGTGAAGGCTAGCATTCAGGGGTCTGAGGGAGAATCAAAAATGGAGTTAGAGGTTCTTTGGCGAAGGGTAAAAGCTACTGCAACATTGTTGACGTACTTGAAATCTAAGGCAAGAGCAATAGCCATTCCTGATTTGGCCCATACATCATGTGGCATCAAACAGTTGGAAGGGGTAGGTCTTGTGGACAAAAATGGCATGCCATTGTCTAGCTGGTCCAGGAGTGTTGATCTTTCTTCATTTGACAGTCCAGATGAAGAAACATTGATGGGAATTAGTAGAGATCGGGGTTCTTTAGATGAGCAAGATGGAGCTTATATTGGTGAGTTGCTCAAGTCTGTGCAGATGGTCACAGATGTAATGGAAGTTCTTGTCAAGAGGGTCATCATGGCTGAATCAGAAACTGCTATTGAGAAAGAGAAAGTAACTTCAGGTCATGAAGAAATTAGAAGGAAGGTAATCCAAATTGAAAATATGTCTTTGAAGTTAGAAGAGATGGAAAGGTTTGCTCTTGGTACAAATGGTATTCTTAATGAAATGAGGCAGAGGGTTGAGGACTTGGTTGAGGAAACATCTAGGCAGAGACAACGAGCTGCAGAAAATGAGCAAGAGCTTATTCGTGTAAAGCGGGATTTTGAGTCTCTGAAATCTTATGTTAGCTGTCTCATTAGTGTGAGAGAAACTCTTATTTCATCAGAGAAGCAAATTCAAACTATTGAGAGGCTTTTTGATCGGTTAGTATGTTTTCTTCTGGATAAAGAATGGCTAGTATGTTTTGCTATGCTTCCAATGTGGTTTTTTTCCTTGACTCTAGTAGCTTGTTTTTCATTATGCCATATTCCTTTCCGATAATAGGAAACTTTTTGTCACCATAATATATAATGTTCTCTCCAATTCAATGTCAGGCCTTTAGTACTCTTTTGTAAGTTCTGGTCTAAACCTTCAAGTAAGTTGACATGGCTTAGGGTCTAGTTTGCCCCGGTTTCTCACCCTTCCTACTTATCTTTCTTCAATTCCACCAACCACCTGATCTTGTTGGCTAGCATGAAATTTAGGCCCGGAGTCAATTTATATCCTCATAAACCAGGAAGCAAGCTGTTTTGTGCACACAGAATGTGATTACTATCTTTCTCTCTTGTTGCTACTAAATTTTGATCTCTTTCTCTATTAAAAGCCTACTCTTCTGTTGGAAATAATATGTATTAGCCATCTAATGCTTTTGGTTTGAATCAGGCTAGTTGCCAAGACAACACAGCTAGAGGGTGAGAAAAAGCAGAAAGAGACTGAAGTACAGAAACTTATGGAAGAGAATGTGAGATTGACTGCCCTTCTTGACAAGAAAGAGGCTCAGCTTCTGGCCTTGAATGAGCAATGCAAAGTAATGGCCCTGAATGCTTCAAATATATAACTTGATTGGATTTTCTTGCTCTACTGCCCGTGGTGTTGCAGTGCAACAGTGCAAGGTAGTTCAGTTTCAGCAGACCTGCCAACCAGCCATCCATAGGAGAATAGGTGCAATTGGAGATGCTGGATTGGCAGGTTTTCGACAGATCATTTCTTTGAAAATGTAACGTACTGAAGAGCAAAGTGAACTTTATTTGTTGTTGCAGTTGTGCTTTCAAGAACCGAACCTGTAACTGTAAGTGTTGATTCCCATTGTTGTGCTATTGAACACGAATTGCTTTATTCCTCGTATAGTTTTTAAGAGGTGCATTGTTTCTTTATTCTTAAATTTAATCTTCAGTTTTTTTTCATTTATTAAATTAAATACATTTATATATATATATATCTGTTATTCTGTTTTTAAAGATGAATGAGATTTATTTCATCAATTTTTTTTTTTTTTTAAAGAAGATCACAAAGAGGCCTAACAAGTACTTATGGCTTTAGTAGTTCATAATTTTTTTTTTTTTGAACTTGGAGGAATTTTAGGAAAAAGAAGAATTTTCTCAAATCAAAGTAAAACTCTTAACCAATGTTTTTGAACCCGGCCCGGTGGCTGGCCCGTTTTGACCACCGGGTCCGAGTCAACCGATTGAACCGATTCACCCGATCGGTTCAATCGGTTAACTAAAAGAAGAAGAAAGGCACCGACAGAGGAGATGAAGAAGAGAAGGAGGGCAGCAATGGAGGAGATGGTATGTTTTGCAACAGTGTGACTTTTGTTTTGCTTTGCTGTTTCAGTCCAGTGAGGAAGGAGGAGGTGATCGACAATCAACAGAGGAGATGAGGAGGAGGTGCTCAGCAGAGGAGAGAAACCATTTTCCCGAAGACGATTTGTTCTATTTTGAGCCAATCAGATGAGGTAAATGGTGAAGATCGGCGGAAGAGAAGAAGTGCAGTGACAGGAGAAGATCGACGGACGATCAGTGGAAGAGAAATCGACGGACGATTGGCGGAGTGGTGGATGATCGGCGAAAGACCCTTTTGCAGTTTTGTTGGTACTTGGTTCCTCCTGAATCTGGGTTTTGCAATTTGTTTCCAGTTTCCACTGTCCCGAGCTGCTGATGATTTTAGATTCTTAAGGTTTTTAGTTTTTACTTAGTTAATTAGTTTAATTGATTTTTAATTTAGGTTTTAAACTTTAATTTAAGTCAAAAAGACAAAAACTTAAAATTAAAAAGATGGTGAAAAACTGAAAATTTCAGCCCGGGCGAGCATGGCGGGTCGCATGGGTTCAACTGGCACGACGGGTTTGCCCGGTGTCAACGGGTTTCAACAGACTATTCACCTAAACGGGCTGAAACCTTCAACCGACCCGTTTTCAGGCCCGGGTCCGATTCAACCGGTTCAACCGGCTGGGCCGGGTCCGGAAACATTGCTCTTAACTACTCCACCTTAAATTCTTAAATTTAATGACAAATTGTTAGATCCATTATCCATATGAATATGGTTTACTCTCAACCACACGATGGTAAATTCTTAAACTTGATAATAAATTATTAGATCCATATACTTGGTTTCATGGTGCATATGGACACATCACATCACAGCAAAATCAATTCCCTAAACAATTCATTGCGTATTTTCAAAAAAAATTCCCTAATCAATTACAAACAAATCATAAGAAATCAACCTCAAGTTGAATTTTTCTTTTTTCTCTTTTCCCAGTATCTTCAAGTTGATTAATGGCCCAAAAGAACACGCAAGGTTGGTTAACTTTTTTCAAAAATAGTTAATTATTTTTAACAATCAAGTGTCACAAGCTAACTTATTTATATATATATTGAAATTTTTTTTTTAATTTTATCAAAAAAAGTATATTTATATTAAAATTAAAAAATTTATAAAATATTATCTCTTTTATTAACATCTATTGAAATTAAACCTGGGTTAACAAATTTTTCTCAAAAAAAAAAACCTGGATTAACAAATTGCATGATGACTTGTAAAGCAGAAGGTAAAGGTGCTCATTGGTAAAGGCATCATTTCTTTGTCGAAGTTTATTTAGAAAACCTGTTGACGATGTCTTGACTTTTTTAGGTGTGCACGACAAGGCATCTTTTGTCCTATCCTTGAATCAGTTGGATGGTGATCGTTCTCATCCAGTTCCACTGGCAAGTGTTTTGGACAATGCCCCTTTTTTTTTCTGGGGGAATGCTAAGGGCAATTCGTCACTCGATCGTTTTAAAGAATATCTTTGTGGCTTAGGAACCAACTTTACTTTATTTAAGGTTTCTTATATTAGTTTAATGATATAGCCTTGAATCCCATCATGAGTGTTCAAGAAAAAAATATTCATCACTCGCTCTAACACCTTTTGGGTTCCATTGGGAGCAAGGTTTTTAAAATCGGACCGGATTGATCGGTTGAATTGATTGGACCAATATCCAGTGATAAAAATGGTTTGGTCTATATAAAAAAACCATTTAATGTCAAAATTGGTCAAAATTGGTCAAAATCGGTAAAAACCGATAAAAACCAGTGAAAATCGATGAAACCAGTGAAACCGAAAAAACTATCGGTTCGATTTTTCATGCAATCTTCTTTCAATTTTTTTCAATTTCACCCTTTCCATTCCTTTCTTATACCCATTTTTACTTTTAATTTTAACAAAATTACAAAATTATCAACACCAAATTAGAAAATTCATGCTTGCAACTTGCTCCTCTCATCAAATCTTCCTTGCTATTTGGACCGATCAATTTACTGGTTCAATTAATTGAACCGATTAAATTAAAAACCAAACTTGAAAATGGTTTAATAACCAATCCGGTTTTAAAAACCATGATTGGGAGGTCTTTTTCTTTATTTTCTCTCTCTTCTTTTATTTCCGCACTTGTCTTTCCTGCCTTCTCTCTCTTTTCCTTACTGTCTTCTCAATCATCTTCAACACGGTCAAAACTCTACAAAGAGGCAATCAAAGACTCAAATGTGGAAATCCACCATAAAGATGAGATTCTCACTCTTCAGATTGTTTTATTTTGTTGTTAAATGTTTTGATCCTTCCTCGTGTCCACCAGTTTCTTCTCTCAGTTTTCTCCTTCGGTGCCACACCCTACCTAAACAACATTTCAACTTCTTGTCTCCCAAAGGCCAAAAATTAAAAAAAAAAAAAACTTCTATTCTTCCATCTTCTCCCAAAGGCAAAACTTTTACTGTGATTTTGGTGCTTACGGCGTTGGGGACTTAAGGTGGTTTTAGAATCTCAATTTATTATTTTGTGTTTTACCCTTAAAAAAGAAGAAGAAGAAGAATGGAGGTGAAAAACTAACTGAAATGGGTAAGGAAATGTCTCTGCGTACTTCAGTCCGTTATGGTTGTCCTCTTCAAGTACTCAGTGGTATAATTTTTTATTAATTTACAAATTATGATGAAAACAAGTATTAAGTGATAAAAAATGGATGAGCAG